CGACAAGACCATCGAAGAAGTTGGAGCTTCCGACCATCGATCTGAAGCTTGATGGACCGAGTACCTACCTGAGTTGGTCACGACGGGTGAGATACACCCTTGCAGGGAGGAACCTGGAGGGTTACTTGACCGGAGAGAAGACAGAACCGGATGAGGACTCGGGAGGACGAGATGAGTGGAAGTCCACTCATATGTTGGTGTACATCTGGCTTCTCAACTCGTTGGTCCCGACGATCGCCGCCACAGTAGATGGCATTGAGAAGGTGAAGGACGTCTGGGAAAAGTTGAGGAGGACCTATGATAGAGTGGGGAATAACCTGAGGGTGTTCCAGATTAAAGGAGAGATTGACGCCACAGTCCAGGGAGAGAGGACTGTACAAGAATATGCTACAGAGCTGGAGCGTCTGTGGCTGGATTATGACCATTTTTCTCCCCGGGCAAGCTGCAAGGACCCAGGATGTAAAGAGCGGGAGGCCTTTCTACAGGAGAGGACTATGGTGTTTCTTAAGGGATTGACATCAGAGTTCGCTCAGCGAATTGCATTACTGCTAGCTCAGCCGAAAATTCCCTCGCTTGAGGAGGCTGTCTCAGCTATGATCCAGGAGGAGACTCGCATTAAGCTGCAGGCAGGGACATGTGGACTTCCTGTGGTGAAGTCAGCTTTAGCAGCATCTAACAATAATGGATCCAGGGGAGAGACTCGGCAGTGCTACAACTGCGGTGAAGTGGGTCATCTAAGGCATGCTTGCACCAAGCCACCTAAGGAAGGAGATTCGGGTGGACGTGGACAGTTCGGAGGGCGTGGTCGTGGCCGTGGGGGTCGACGAGGTGGAAGGGGAGCAGGCAACCGGGCGAATCTGATGATAGCAGAAGGAGGAGAAGAAGCTGAGGTGATCTTTACTGAGGAGGATCAGGCGCTCCTGGCGATACTCAGGAGAAAGCAGCAAGTAGCAGGGGATGGAGACAGGAGGAGTGGGACAGAGGAGGCATCCACATCATTCTTCGTCAGAGGCAACACTGCTACCTATGCTCATCCGACCAAAGGTACTGATGACATACATGCTCTTGCTTCCATATCTTCCGACAAATCATCAGAATGGATAGTCGACTCCGGTGCGTCTCGACATGTGACAGGTAATGCTAGTGAGTTCTCATCATATACTCACCTAGCATCGCCTGATAGTATTCAAACAGCTGATGGTACATTTCAGCCTGTGGTTGGTAAGGGTATAGTTGATTGTACTGGTTCAGTAACTTTGTCCAATGTTTTGCATGCTCCTTCCTTTCCAGTCAACCTTTTATCCATTAGTGCTATCATCCTTCAACTAAAATGCATTGTTTCCTTTGATATTCCCAAGGTGATCTTCCAGGAGAAGGGGACAGGGCGGAGACTTGGGACTGGCACATGGCGTAGTGGACTGTGGTATCTGGATCGTGAAGGACTGGATTCAGCATTGGTGTCAATGATAGAGAGAGCAGAAGTAGGATCTGAGATGAGTGCTGAGAGTGTGTTGATGCTTCATCACCAGCGTTTGGGACACTCATCTTTTAATGTTTTAAGTAGGTTGTATCCATCTCTATTTGAGAAAGCAAATAAGCAGCACCTTGTATGTGATGCATGTGAGCTTGGAAAACTTACTAGAAGTTCTTACGTAAGTTCTGGTCATAGGAGTTCTCGTGTATTCGAACTGATACATTCAGATGTTTGGGGACCTTGTTCTACAAGTTCTATGAATGGATACAAGTATTTTGTTACTTTTATTGATTGTTTCTCCCGCGTTACTTGGTTGTACCTGATGAAAAATAAGAGTGAAGTGTTTGGTTGCTTTCAAAATTTTCATAGGTATGCTCAGACTCAATACGGCGCTGTGGTGAAGGTATTAAGATCTGATAATGGGACAGAGTATACTAACAAAACGTTTGGGGAATACTTGTCAGCTCAGGGAATACAACACCAGACTACGTGTCCATACACACCTGCTCAAAATGGAGTAGCGGAAAGAAAGAATAGACATCTTTTAGAGGTTGCTAGAAGTATGATGATCTCTATGAATGTCCCAGAAACATTATGGGGACAAGCAGTGTTGACCGCGGCAGCACTAATCAACAGAATGCCCTCGAGAGTGCTGGATTGGAAGTCTCCGTGTGAGTTGTTGAAGGGAGATAATGGTGGGCTTCTTCCACTCAAGGTGTTTGGCTGTGTGTGCTTTGTGAAAGACAACAGGCCATCAGTCGGGAAGCTTGCCCCTAGAGCGGTGAAATGTATTTTTGTGGGATATTCTGCTACTCAGAAGGGCTATGTTTGCTGGAGCCCGGTGGAGAAAAGGTTGTTTGTGAGTATGGATGTGCACTTTCGAGAACTCGAGCCATATTACACCCGGAAGGTAACTTCATCCGTTGATAACTCGCCTAATACTGGAAGTATGCGGCGAGAGGAGGAGAATGGTGAGAGATTGGTGAATGTGGAGAAATCAATGTCTGAGAATGGTGAGAGATCGAAAAAATCAATTTCTGTAACGATTCCTTGGGAAGAAGTGGTTGAGGAGGAGCAGGAGAATGAAGAAGAGGAGGAGAATGAGACAAGAGAGGAGAATGAGACAAGAGGTGTTAGGTCCACGGCTCAGGGGGAGCTACTTACCTATAGTAGGAAGGGGAAACAAATTGCGGGAACAGTACCTACAGTGTCACTGGTGCCAAGTCCCTTGCCAACACATGTCCCGACTCCTGAGACACCTACACTACCACCATATTCTTCTCAAGGTGATATCATTCCTCTCCTCACTCCTCCCACACCAATGACTGTACGGAGGACTACTCGCAGTAATGCGGGAAATCCTCCCGATAGATATGGTTGGGATCTTGCTCAGTTTGTATCATATTCTAACATCCACCCTACACATGGAGCATTCATTGCATCACTGGACTCTGTTACTATACCTAACAATTGGCAGGTTGCAAAGAAGGACCAGAAATGGAAAGCTGCTATGCACGAAGAGCTAAGGGCCCTTGAGAAGAACCGCACTTGGGAGTTAGTAAAACTACCAAAAGGAAAGAGAGCAGTTGGATGCAAGTGGGTCTTCACTGTGAAGCAGAATCCAGATGGACAGGTTGAGCGCTACAAAGCTCGTCTGGTGGCAAAAGGATATAGTCAGACATACGGCATCGACTATGATGAGACTTTTGCACCAGTAGCGAAGATGAGCATTGTTCGAACCTTGATCTCTCTGGCAGTAAATGGTGGATGGAAGCTACACCAATTAGATGTGAAGAATGCATTTCTTCATGGAGATCTGGTGGAAGAGGTATACATGGAAATTCCGCCAGGATTCAACACAGAACAGACAGTGGGCAAGGTCTGCAGATTGAAGAAGTCTCTATATGGCCTGAAACAATCTCCTCGTGCTTGGTTCGACAGATTTAGGCGGGCTATGATAGGTATGGGATACCGGCAGATTAACGCTGATCATACTGTGTTCTTCCGACGAAATGAAGGTTACATCACTGTGCTTGCGGTATATGTGGATGATATGATCATTAGAAGGGATGATGAGGAGGAGATTGCCAAACTCAAAGTGAGACTGGGTAAGGAGTTCGAGGTGAAAGATCTTGGCTTGCTTCGATACTTTCTTGGAATAGAAATAGCTCGCGGAGCGGAGGGGATTGTCTTATCCCAGAGAAAGTATGCACTGGATCTTCTTAAAGAGACAGGGATGTTAGGGTGTAAACCTGCAACTACACCGATCGACCAGAAGTTCAAGCTGGGTGCTGAGGCTGGAGAACCAGTTGATCGTGACAGATACCAAAGGCTGGTAGGGAGGTTGATCTACCTGAGTCACACACGTCCCGATATCTCTTTTGCAGTGAGCGTGGTGAGCCGCTACATGCATGATCCAAGGAAGGGTCATATGGACGCTGTGTACCAGATTCTGAGATATCTGAAGAGTGCCCCTGGAAAGGGACGTGGTGGCGAGATCGACAGCTGAGGCAGAGTATAGAGCTATGGCCTTAGGAGTTGCTGAGTTGCTATGGTTAAAGAGTATGCTGGTAGAGCTGAAGCTGGATCAAGGAGCTAAGATAAAGTTATGGTGTGACAACAAGTCAGCTATCAGTATCGCCAACAACCCAGTGCAGCATGATAGAACCAAACACATCGAGATCGATAGGTTCTTCATCAAAGAGAAGTTGGATAGTGGACTACTAGAGCTAAGTCATGTTTCAACTAAGGACCAGGCAGCAGATTGTCTGACTAAAGGACTTAGCTCATTAGACATGATTAGAGGATGTGACAAGATGGGCTTAGTGGATATCTTTCGCCCATCTTGAGGAGGAGTGTTGACATTAGTAATATTTGTAAGGGGTTATGTGTAAGTTGTGTAGGGCCTATATAAGCCCAAGAGATCTCCTAATAGGGTTAGGGTTTGTATTATCAACTATAACCAACTGAATAAAAGCGCTAACAACTTACATTTGCCTTCAGAAAAAACATATGTTTACACGAAAATAACTAAAAAGAAACATATAATTATGTAAATATGCAAACCTAAGTTATCACCAAACATGAACAAAGACAAAAAAGCTACCAACTTTACTAATTAACAAAATAAGAAAACCCAAGTAACTGCGGCTACGCACAGAGGTAAGCAACCCTAGGGTTACTGGACTCGACTTCGTTAGCAACACGAAGAATGGGGGCGATCTCGACGAGAGACGAAGGGACAACTTCACTATCAAAGATCGATTCTCCGAGATTTCCCACCGTCTGAGTTCGGAGCAGCCGCCGCTGCGACGGCGACTGCTCGAGCCCTCTCCTCGAAGACGACGACGACATCGACATCGCTGTCCTGTTTTAGAGAGAGAAAGTAAAGGTGAGCGCTTTTGATATGATCGAAACCCTAATCGAGCTTACTCTTCCCCTCACCCGCTAGATTTTGGAGCTCTGCTGCTGCTGCATGTGAGGTTGGAGGTTAGAGAGAGAGAGAGAGGGAGGATGAGAGCTTTAGAGAGAGAGAGTGCTGAGTTTTGAAGCGAACTCGGGAGAGCAGAGGAGTGAGATTCTGTGAGAAAAAGCTGTTGGCGTGGGAGGAAGAATAAAATAATCATAATAAGAGACGTTTGAGCCAGGTGTACAAGTTTTTAGGGGCTGGGTGTTAGAAAAGAGCATTAATGTTTGTCGCTATTACGGGTTTGATATGGGCACCTGGCTCTGTTGTATTAATTGCACATAGAACCCCGGTATTTATCGCGTTCTGCAACTTTTTACCTCTCAAGTTTGATGTTAAGGGGCTGTTTGGTTGATGTATTTGGCATTAGCGGTTGGGCAGAAAGCCTGCAAAACTTTTGGCAGGCTTTCTGCCCAACCGCTAATGCCAAATACATCAACCAAACAGCCCCTAACAGATAGACTCCAAGAACTTAACTAAGCATCGCATTTGTCCTCCATGTATGCTATTATTCACTGTTTGGTGCTCTTTTCTGTCAAATGTTTTACTAGTGTGCACCCCTGTAAAGCATGACCTTCATTTTTTTTATTTTTGCTACAGTAATTCTGTATTCAAATAGAGTTTTAGTAAGTACTATAGTAATTTTTTTTTAAAATATGATACAGCATGCCGCCTGAGCTACAGTAATATTACTACGGTAATGTTTACAACGCTATAGTTATCGCCTATGCTACAGTAATAATGCTTCAGTTTTACTGTATCATAAATAGTGAATTTTTGGATCATATTGTCTGCGTTGCAGTAATAATACTATAGTAATTTTACTGTAACATGAATAGTAAATCTTGGATCTTTCCGTTATTATAGAGGAATAGATGGCCGAGTTGAAGTGGACGCGAAGAAAGGGAGAAGCCGAGTGCGATAGCACAAAGGTCTACATCTGTTTCAAATCTTACACATGGTTTTGACTTTGAGGGGGCTATCTGCAAATATCACATTTAGGGATAATAGGCGGCACCGTGTGATAGTAAAAGAGTGTGTCATCGATCTTTAATAAATACGAAGGGTTTCACAACTTGCTTTGTTATAGGAATAATGGCGATGATCTTTAATAAATAAAGCTTTAAATTGTACATTTTAATTAAATATCATACTCACCTTTATAATAAATTTTAGCAATTTCTAAAGATATATATTTTTTTCGCTTTTTAATTTGAATGTGAATGGTCTATCCAAATTAAGTAAGCTCTGTGAAAATTAATAAGTGATGATGCCATTTAGCATCAATGAGGATGTTTTCGGAATACAAGTCATCCGACTTATGAAATTTTATTTTTAATTTTAAGAAACAAGCATTTAAACCCTGACCCAATACAAATATTGCGGTAGGCGGGTACCGGCGAGTAAATTCAGGCGCTCTTGTTACCAACGGGTGTATTTTTCAAAAAAAAAAAAAAGTTTTACACTCTTCCCATTTTAGCCTTCTAGCAATCACCTCGCCCAACAGATAAAGGCAATGTATAGCACTCGCCGTGATTATAAAAATATACGGGTGTCACAGTACTAACGACAAGATTTAAAGATTTTCCGTGTGAGAAAATGGTGCGGCAGCTTGCGTGGACCCCACCGTATCACTCTGACAACAGCTGGGCCATGGCCCTTGGGCCCGAAGTTCAAACTCCATATCCAGTGCTTGGCTACATACAGCATTCACTGAATGAACGGTTGATAACGTTTAAAGTTAAAGCGAGTTAATTTATGTGGACGAATCGTCGCTCTACGATACGATCGTCATGAGTTACGCTGTTTGAGGACAAACAGAGAAATTTAGCGGCATAATCAATACGGTGTGCTTTCTCTAGCATCGAGATAGACTAGAAGGAATTCGGATGCGGGTTTGTACAAATAATGCGAGTCCGACATACACAGGATCCGTTCTGGTCATGCGTTTTTATATTCGGGAATGTTTGCCTAAGCCCACAGTGGTACTAATAAATGCTAAAGGACGCTATTAGGGCCCGTTTGGTTTAAGTATTTTGTATTGGGTCTTGGGCAGAAAGCCTGCCAAAAGTGCTCTTTTCACAGGTTTTCTGCCCAAGACCCAATACAAAATACTTAAACCAAACGGGGCCTTATTGTAGCAAAATTCCAAAGTTTTGATAAGTATTGGAAGGTTTTAATTTTATGTTATAATAAATGTTAACTGGATCAGCTGCATGCAGAATACTAATAACTATTTAGCGCAGGAGAAATATAGAAACAAGAAATACTATTTTATTTTATACTTATTTTATTTCAGCAAGTGTTATTAGATTTACATAGAATATCACTGTCTTTTTCTTATACGTTTCCGACATCCATGTCATGTTTGTATAGCATGTTGTAACTCTGTTATTCTTTCCAATAGTTTTTTTAAAGATATTTGAGATACTTTCTTAAATTTAATACTAGCTTATTGACTATAAATTTTGAAATATAGTTAAATCTTCTCGATCCATAATTAAAACACAATAATGTCCATTGCTTAATCACAGATAACGTAGTACTTATAATAATTATGAATATGGGTAGCAATTTAAATCTACAAGGTATATTATTTAGAGATAAAGGGAATTTTTTAAGGAGTTCTTTTCGAAAACACTAATTCTTGTTCGCGAAGAAAGACTAGATAACCTTCAATAATCCTTTCGGTTGACTGAGACAAGGGGAAAAAGAATTAGAACAAGGTGCCTTTTTCTTTGGGCCTTTTTCTTTGTTCTTTCACTAAGGAATTATTTGATAACACGTGTTAGATTCTCATCTCAAACTTTGGTTAGGAGGTAGTTTTATTGGTCTAATACTCATATATATATATATATTAGGAGAAAAATGAGACGTGGGTGTGATGGGGCTGTCACCGTTCAAAATCAAAGTGTTGTAGTGCCCCTACCTTTTCAATTCCTTTTTCCTTCCTTGGTAATATGGTATATATATGGGTGTCCATTCGGGTCCGCTCGCCCCGGCTCGACCCGAAAAATCGAGTCAGGGCTGGGCAAAATCGGAGCCCGAACCCAGTTGCCCCGGGTCGGGTCCGGGCCTGAGCGGGCCAGGCTCTGGGCCGTCCGGTTTTTTTATTTTTTAAATCTCTTTAAAACTCCAATTTACATAAAAAATTTACACAAAATTTAAATAAAAAAATAATATTATTAATCACTTGAAATTACATAAATTATAAATATAAAAAATTATAAAAAAGACAGATGATAAAAATAACTTCTTTATTAATAATCAGTAAATTATTTACAAGTATAAATTTATTCCAGAATTCGTCGCATCACAATAGATGAGTACATCCCAACTAGGTTGGCACCTACTCACCTATATCACTATCATTTGCAACTGTTTCCAAAATAATTTATTACAAAATTTAACTAAGAAATAAAAATTATAATTTGATGAATATTATTTAATCTTTATATCTATTTACTAGTCCTAATTCTTCAAATTTATCTTCAATTCCAGGCAGCCGATCGATGTCTTGTGTTCTCTTCTTGTACCTCCACCAATCTTGTAAGCACATCACCGCGTGTACAGTATACAGATCTAATGATGTCCTGTGGTCGTCGATCAAACGTCATGTTGTGCTGAAGGCAAATTCCGAAGCTACCATCGAAACCTGCATTGTTAGTAAATCACGAACAATTGTAGAAATTATAGGATATGAAACCAATCCATATACTCTCCACCATTGCAAAATATCTAAATTATTATTTTGGCATTTAACTAAAAAAGCAGACAAATATTCATCTATTTCAGAAACCTCCAATGATGATCCAAATCCAGATCCACCACTTAGTTCAGCTACCATTGCATACCTATCAAAACTTACACTTTTACCTCGGCTTGAGCTCGAATAAGCCGAAGTTGTAAACTGTTGTGCAGCTACACCATATTTAGCTGCATACTCATCATATAAGGTTTGAAAATAATTTCTAACAGCATTATGATGAGAAGTAGCAGTAATGATGGATCCATCATCTAAGTCTATAATCTGATTACCATACAATGATTGTAACAAACTTTGAAGGCTAATATCCTTCAATTGCGGATCAATAAGAACCCCCAAACCAAAAATATGAGGAATAGACCTAAAATACTTATTAAATTTGCTCTCCCCCCAAACCAAAAATATGAGGAATAGACCTAAAATACTTATTAAATTTGCTCTCCATTTGAAAAATTATAGCTCCAAAAGTATAAATACTTATTAAATTTGCTCTCCATTTGAAAAATTATAGCTCCAAAAGTATCATCCATACGATATTTAGTAAAAAATTTTGAATATTTAAAATTTGTAAAGCAGCTAAAGTAATGGTTGGATGATAACAGCCAGATAATAACATTGTAGCATCATAAAAAAATTATAACATCTCTTTTAAATCACTTATAATTGTCCATTCCTCTTCAGTTATTCCATAGGTGCTACCAGAGCTAGAACTAGAAGAATAATAAGCAATAAAATCATTTATAATTTCTTTATATTTTATTACAATAAAATATAATTGTCCATTCCTCTTCAATTATTCCATAGGTGCTACCAGAGCTAGAACTAGAAGAATAATAAGCAATAAAAGCATTTATAATTTTTTTATATTTTATTGCTACACTTAACATTGCATAGGTGAAATTCCACCTATGGTCAACATCTTTTGGAATTAGTCTGGGCTTTACATTTTTTTTATTTATAGAATTGTTTCCATCTTCTAATTCTTTGTTCAGAAGCATTATGCATATAAGTTACTGACCTAACATTTTCTATCATGAGTTTAATTTCAGTAAATGCACTTTGAACAATTAACTTTAAAATATGACAGATGCATCTAATATGAAAAAGATCACCATGATATGGCAATGATAGAGTTATTTTGATAAAATCAACAGCTATATTATTATTACTTGCATTATCTAGTGAAAGAGAAAATATTCTTTCTGAAATTTCTTGTTTCATAAGTTCTTCAATTATTAAATTTATAATATTAATAACAGTATGTGACTCTTCAATTGTAATAAAGGAAATAACTCTTTTAAACATTTGCCAATTTTTATTAATCTAGTATGTTGTGATGCATAAATAACCAATTTGTGCTTTAGATGTCCAAATATTAGAAGTTAAAAAAAATTTACAGTTTAAACTTTAAAAATAAGAAATTATT